GGTTGCCCTGTATGTCAATCCGATGATTCAGTTGTCATCTGATTGGTTGCCCTGTATGTCAATCACGTAACGGGATTGACATACAGACGTAGTTAGTTCTGTGTATTTAGCACCATTGTTTGAATGGCAGCGCCACCGCCGAGGTATTTTCGACGCTTGTCATGTGAAAGCTTGGGAGCCGCATTGAACCAGCCAAAGAGCCGCATGCGGCTCGTGAGCCGCGGGTTGTCCGCCCGTGGTGTATAACTATCAAGTTGATACAGATGGATAATATGTGAGAGCCTTGGGAGACAAAAGTGCTGCATTTTCCTTGGAAAAAAAAAAAAAGCCGGACCGTGGCAAAACACGCGCCAATTTTCAGTAGCCAGTTTGCCCCTCTTAATGTCTGGTTTATGAGCCTTGACCGAATACAACAGGGGCTGCTTGTGATAGCATGACAAAAAAAAATCTCCTTTGTTCAATGTGATTACCCAAGAGTTAAAGCTAGAGAGAACTTGAAATGTTTTTGACCTCTGCCAGGAGAAGCCCGTCAAGGTCGGTCACCCAATTGATGTCGGTAAATTCCTCTGTGGGGCAGCCAAGACCTTCAACCACACGTGGATCAATAAAACACTCGTCGACACCAGAGTCCACAAGGGCCATAATATTAAATTTCTGATACCCGCATGACACCCCCTCTGATAACTCTAATCTATGGACGTTAGAAGCCTGCCTAGAAACTCGAAGGGAGATGGAACACGAGGGTTAGTATCACAGGTCCTGAATCGAGTTCATTGGTGTCCAATTCCCTATGACCCAGCTGAGTGGATTACGGAGTGAGCACGAAGTTCATGTTAGACAGATGGATACTTGATGACCCAGCAGACGGCAGTCCGAGCATGAACCGGTTTGGCAGCGTTGTTTTCTCTCTTCAGGGGTTAGATGTCCAAGCTGCATGGGTTCGTCGGGGGTCCTCCGACAGTTGTCAGTCGGCATAATCGGTCTCAGTCGCCGCGCGCAACTGTTCACAACCGATTATCCAAGCGGATAGCCAGTGCAATAAGTTCCTCCAAATTAGTAGAGTCGTCCCGCATGGCCAGTTCATCTTTCATGGGGCGACTCAAAACATAGCGGAAGATGCTACATAAGGCACAGTAATCAAATCCGCTCTCAGCCGCCAAAATGCGAAAAACAACCTCAAACTGATTGCCAACCCGAAACACAATCTAAGAGGCAACATCTGCCTCCCTTTTCTGAACAGGGTGGTGCAATCTTGGCGCTATCTAGGGCAGTGGTTCTTAACCTGGGTTCGATCGAACCCTAGGGTTTTGATGAATCAGTCTCAGGGGTTCGACGGAGCCTCTGCCATGTAGGTTAATTAAGACACACCCAACTCAACATGACAATTTGTTATGACATGCCCACATGGCCATCACTGGCTGGTTCATTTTGTGCACAGTTAAAATAACGTATACCTATGTCTTGAAATTTTATTTCGTGTTTTTTTCTGTTTTCAATAAATCCGTTTTTTATGTCTTGAATGTGTAAAAAAAAATCTGATTTTTATTCTTCACTCATGAAGGGTTCGGTGAATGTGCATATGAACTGGTTGGGTTCGGTACCTCTAACAAGGTTAAGAACCACTGATCTAGAGCAGTGGTGGCCAACCAGTCAGAGAGTAAGAGCCAATTTTTTTACTGTGTTACTGCAAAGAGCCACAGACACGCGAGCGCGCAAACACGCATGCGCGTGCGCACACACATACACACACACACACACATACACGCCCACACTTTTTTGCCCAAAGATCGACTTTTGGAGCGACCAACCTCCCACGATCGACCCGATAGCGCACGTGCAAGCATATGAACACACACACACACACACACACACACACACACACACACACACAAGCACACGACTATGCACTCGCGCACATATACATGCACGCCACTGAGCGCCCGAACATGAATGAAACCTAAAGACACAAACACACACACAAATCTTTTTTTCCCCCCATTTCCGCCTCCCACCCCCATTTCCTCCTCCGACCGGGACCAGTCTGCTGGCTCTTGGGGCACCCCTGCCTTAAAAACAGAGGTGATTCGCTGACTAGCTTAGCACTTAGCGCCATTGTCTGCGCATGAGCGGTGATTCAGTCATCTGATTGGTTGCCCTCTATGTCAATTAAGTAATGGGATCGATGATAGGCTAACGTAGTATGTTCTGTGTATTAAACACCGTTGTTTGAATGGCAGCGCCATCGCCGAGGCGTTTTCGACAATTGTCTTGTTAAAGCCCGGGAGTCGCATTGAACTAGACAAAAAGCTGCATGCGACTCGCAAGCCGCGGGTGGGCCACCCCTGATCTAGGGTGTAGGCCGATGGTTGCTGGTCAAAAATCAAAGAGCACTGGTGACTAAATTGTCCATAAAGTCCAGGCTCACCTCCATAGTGTGAAGGATGGGGTAAATTTGTTGGGGTAGATGGCACCCCAATACTGGCAGTTCAAGAATTCAAGCGGGGCTTCCCTTGGGTGCCCAAATTGCTCAACACGTGAGCCTGATTCTTCAAAGCGGTGAGCCAACAGGGCAACCGTGTCATGGAATTCTATTAACACTGTTCCCTGCTGGCCCACCAGTGGTCCTTGGCTAGCCAAAGGATTCTTAATTTTGTCTGAGTCTGCGGGATCCATGACAATTTAGTTTTCCCACCTTTTCTTTTGGATCAGCCAACTTCTTTCGTGATGTTTTTTTCTGCAACTCTAGAGGCATATTTTGGCAATATGCCAGTATGGCAAATGTACCTCGTCCATTTCAGCCATCACCCAACCTATAAAATCTTGTAAATACACGAGATGACCAACATTCCCACCAGCATGAATGAAAGCAGGTTATCACGGCAATGAGAATGACCAGCAGCGTGTACAGTTGTCACATGTCATCAGCTCAAAAATGCTGGGCCATGCCAGAATGGAGGCACTGTCTCATTCTCTGGAGGCAATGCTGCTGTGTGTATTTTTAGACAGTGCCACCTTATATGCACAGCCTGGTCACATCACATCTGTGTAATTTTACAAGTGAGGTCCCCTCCCATCAAGAAATGTGCCCTTTTTACAAAAGCCTCAGTCAGACAGGAAAAAAAAAAACAGTTGTAGAATGACAAAGGAGGGTTAAAGCTGGTGCATTGTTACATTTTGTCAGTACTTAGATTCATTCAATGAATTAATTTAACCCCCAATTAATGGAGAGCAGCATCTATATCAGTGTACAGGGACCAGACTTGATTAAGATGTTAAGCAGGATGTGAAGCTGTCTTTTCAAGTGAAGCCCTAATATTAGAGTTGGCCCCTCTTGAGTTGAACAAAATAATGTTCACATAAGGCGTAATATTTGGGGTTTTTCTGTTGTCTTCTTTTAAAATGATGCAAAATAACTGACCTGTTTTCACGGCTGCCGTTTGCTGCAGACAAGTAAAATATTTTGCAAATATCACATTCTGAGAGATTGGTAGGCCAATTAAGACACCTATACATCACCAAATATAGTCATGCTATACCTCCTGAACAATGTAACTCAAAGGTCCCATGCCATTTAAATTCCCATCCCTGACTGTTTTGTGCAGGAAACATAGGTCAAATTAGGCAAGGACTCATGTCAAGTTCATCATCTATTTGGTTTGTTGTTTGAATGCAATAACATTTCCAATGCAAAGGCCTGCTAGATAGAGCAAGTGGATTAGATTTTGGCCTCGTCTGATGTGGATTTGTCACTCATTATTCAAGCACCTCCCGTTTCTGGCTGCTACACGCCCACTCAATTTAGTCCTTAGTCCAAGAATTACCAATCCTTTAAAAAAAAAAAAAACATCATCCATCCATCCAGCCATCCATCCAATTTAAACACGGCTTATCCTGTGTAAAGGGTCATGGGGGAGGGGGGAGGGGTGTGTCTGGAGCCTACACCAGCTGACTTCGGGCAGAAGGCCAACTTCACCCTGAAATGGTTGCGAGTCAGCCACAGGGCACATATAGAGATGAACAACCATTCACATCCATACCGTCACTAAGTGGGAATCAATCCCACGCTGCCTACACACAGGTCAGGCAAGTCTACCGCTACACCATCAGTGACTGTCGTAGTCCAACACATGAGAAATGTGATTAAAATGGTTAATGGATGGGTTGGCTGGCACCTGGCCAAGAGAATAGGGCATATGCCAACTGAGCTGTCAGTGCAAGCACAATCATGCCACTGTGCGCTGTCTTGATTGTTACACATGTGGCAAATGCTGAAAGGAGATGGTGTGGCAGTACCAATTATGTTCAGACAACTTCCATGATTCTTGCAAAGATCTGTACTAAAATTTCATTTTTTTTGTAAATAAAAACATTGCAATACAGTAAGCATTTTCTTGTTTCCAAACCTTACTTTTACAAAAACTTGAACAAACTATTGACTTCAGATTTCAAAGTTATGTAGCCATGCACATATTTTTTTAAGCCTAAATGGTTTAGGTGTTCTATCTACATCACTTTATCCACATGCTGTACAAAATTAAGTGTTTGCATGTTTCATCTCAGCAATTTATAAGCAAAGAAGTGTTGTTTGAATCTTGTGTACCAGAAATAAATCTCAGCAAGAAATAAAAAAAAAATATTTTCCGGTGTGATCAGCTCAGAAAAAATATAATTATTATTTGTAGCCTGATGAACACACAATAGTGTGATAAGATATTGTACACTAGTCCTAAAAGTCTACCTCTTTCTCATTATAGGAGAACACACAAAAAAGCAAAGCGACACCATCCGCAGCCCATCACCACCATGTATGTCATTTATGGGACTAAAATGGTGGCTTCCCTCCCAGCCTTTCAGCTACTCAGACACTCTGAGAGGATCTTAAAAATCCATTAAGAAATAAAATTCTTGATGTGAATCTGGCAGATGAGATCGGACACGAGACACATGTTTTTCAGTGAATTCAGACAAGGCATGTGATGTATACATCATGAATAACTTACATTGTCTGTTCTGAGCTTCTTGGCAGGGCAGCCTCCATCCACAGGATGTAACATGTAATAAAGTCGCACTTTATTGGCATGTTTTCGACTCTGGAAGAAAGAAAAGAAAGTGGTATGAATAAAGCAATACAATGCAGCCAAATTGCTTTAAATGATTTACGTGGAGTGCTATAACCTGTCGAGCCCATGCCACATACAGTACATTTTAAATGTGTTGTTTCTCAAACCCCCTTCATTTCACCTTGCCACTTCCTACTGTGTTCCATCAGAGGCCTCAGATTATCCTCTTATTGGTTGGGTTAAAATTGGGCAGTCATGCCTTCTTGCTGCCAGCTTCTTAAAATGGGGATGATGGGGTTGTTAAAAAAGTGTTTTAAACTGCACTTTTATTTTGTGAAAAAAAAGCAATATATTGAACATTAACTACAAGTCCAAGGCTTTCTTTGTGTTTAGGCTGAACTGACTTCCCAAACACTATATATTTTATGAAGATTAACTAAAGCATGTTTCAAAATACCGTAAGATATTTGACGAAAATTTTCATCAAGAGTGCACAAAGAACTTGAGGAGCCTTTGGTGGTAAATATGAAGCACCTGCCCTGTGACATGTGTTAAAATGAAGTTTTGATGTTCTTTCACTGTTAAGTAATTATGGCTATTTATTGTGTTCTCTTATTCTTATAGTTGTTTGACTTTGAAGGACTAAAACTACTTCAAAATTCCTGGGACAATTAAATGTTTTAAGATCATGGCAGCTTGATGCTGGAAAAGATCATCTGTATGTGTTGGTCAGGTTCTGGACCGAACCAAATCATGTTTTTGGATTTCAGAAATGCAGCCTCAGGCAAAGAGCGAAAATAAAAAATATTTATTTCCAGAAAAGTGCACCAACAAAGTACAAACATAAATCGCTAGTCCCAGGGAGCCAAAAGAAACAATGCATAAACAAAAGTGCTTGCAAAAGCCAAGATACTAGGGAACACCAAAAATAAAGAAACAAAATGTCAAGAAGCCAATAATGCGAAGCCAAAGATCAAAAGCAATGAAAAAACAAAAAATCCTGACAAATAAGTGTCTATGAATAACGAGAGCGACTATGGAGGGTATCGAGAGGTTGCGCAAACAAAATTTGAAGCACTACAGCAAGCTAGGTCAATAATCCAACAAGAGACTAGGCAGCTTGGCAGTCCTTAAATACATGGCAGGCTTGATTGGTAAACGCGGAACAGGTGCGCCTGCTGGAGGGAAACGCCCTTCAGTCTAGCTGGGGCTGAAAAAACAAACAGAGATGTGAGAGCATTTCTCAGGTGTGAAACTGTTTTCAAATGTGTCAAATCGCAGTTCAACCAGTATCCTGGAGAGGATTGAGTTCAAGTTATTGATATTTTACTTTCCATTATTTAGCAGCAGTTTGGTGTACTTGATCCTCTTCACCATCTGACCCCAGGCTCCTTATTGTCTAATTTAAGCTGCAGTCATCACCCTGTTACAGTAGAGTGATACTCACTACCACAGTATATCGTCATGAGATTGACCACGTTGAGAGCCTTGCTGGTGTTTATTCCATCTTTCATTAGTGATGACATATATTAGATTCTTGTGCTGCAACTTACCCGTTTATTTGGAAAATTCACATTTACTTGCTTGCCTTAGGATACCTGTTAATTCCACACAATTTTAGACATTTGAATCACATGCATGTTTCTTTGTTAGGGAGCAGCTTCACTAAAAAGGGACAACTCAATTAAATGTACTTGCTCTCGTTAGCTGCCTGAAACAATGCTGAATTGATAATTAGACCGCAGTTCAATCAGGGTGTAGCAGGTGTCTTCTTACAAGCTTTGCATTGATCGCGCAGAATTTGATCTTAGAGCCACATCGGGGGAAATAATTGAGAGGACAAATTAGTTTCTCTGAAAATTAATCAGCTTAACAAGAAACACTGTGGTTATGACGAGACGTGATACAAAAGAAAAAAGTAATATCACAGAAAAAAAAACAGTTTTATTTTCTGTCTCTTTCTGACTGTGACTTCACACCGTGAAGGGGAAAACACAGATGAGGTATCTTAAAGGTTTGATTTCCAACTTCTCTTCCCAAGGACAAAATACACAAAGGGAAGGATGTGAAGATCGATATTACAGTCTGTTTCCTTCACTGATAAAATAAAATCTGAGCCAGTTCCGCTGAAATATAAACTCGATTGCTTGACACAAGATCATGCACAGCCAAGAGCTGTTGCAGATTCCACGATTTTACTTTTGACTACAAATTGTTTTGGCCCGATCAACATTGAGGCCATCCAAATCTGCATTTAAAATGACACAACGGGATTACAACTATTGTGCAATTCAATTTGTGGAGGGGTGGGAGGGGGCAGGGGGTTAACTGTTCTATCCATACATTAGTATTTTCATTTTACATTTCATTCATATTTGGTGGTGCTGATTTTCACCCCTACCATTTCACACTCAAAAGCGAACTGCACCAGTGAGAGTTGTCGATCCCGGACCCAGTCAATGCCTCAGCTGAGCCTGGAAATTCTGTCCATAAAGGTCATGAACATAATCGGGGACAAGGGGCAGTGTGTTGTGAAGTGAGTTCAGTCCACTGCCACCATACATAACAAAAAAAGGCACCGTGATATGATAGTGATTACACAGAGGTATTTGCTGTTGACATTTGGCCACTGTTGTACAAAACATGATCCACGAATTAACAGGGAAACAATATGTGCTAAATGGTCGACACTGTGTTTTTCAATTGAAGGAATAAAGCAATAAAATCATCAGCCAAGAAAAGTGAGCATGTAATGCTATACTAATTACGATTTCATAAAGTTCATAAAGCTTACCTGCATACAGCAGTTGTTTTGCATTTTTTTAAGCGTAGCACATGAGGTCAGCAGTATAGTCTGCTTTGCAGATACACTCTTGAACATGCTATCAAAACAATTTGAAACAATTTTCCACAACTGTACCAGATAATCTACAAAAGGCCTCCAGATTATTTCATATATTTCTGATAACACTGCTGCATAGCCATTGCATTATAAAGGTGCCTTGTTAATCTGTGACTTTGAATGTCATGCCAAATGAGATCTAATTTTCTGATAGGTTTATACACAGTACATATGAAAATGCAATGATTTCCTTTCCGAGGCCATAAATTAAACTGTCAAATAAAATGAAAATAGAATCTAACATTAAGGCACACACCCTTGCCAATAATGTGAAGTTAACTGCCTAAAATTGTCCACTTACTTAAAACTGCCTTCATTGCTGGCATGGCATATGGATATTATATAGCCACTGTTTAAGTGTTTCTGGTTTATTATCACATTTGCATTACATCCAACAGAATTACTAAAATTGAAAACCTATTTGTTTCATTTCTGTTTTATATTCAAATGACCTTTTGAACAAAGTAGTATTAGTGTAAGACTAGCGGTGTAAAATTCCACCTTGTATTATTCTTGCTTTCAGATAAAGGCATGGGAGAGCATAGATAAAATCCAATAACATAACTATCCCTCCCTGTAGAATTATTCATTGTAGAACTATTTATATACACGGGAACTGTTGGAAAACTAATTGAAAAGGCTCCCTCTGAGATCCAGTTGAAATGGACTTATCCATCAGACCAACCCACAATTTTTGTATCATTGACAGTAGGAGAAATTGAACCCATTTGTCCAAGACCTCTCATTCTGTTATACCCTCTGTCTCTCCTCCCTGAGCTCCAACCCTGACCGGATCTGGAACTCCTTGCCCACTCCTCGTCATCTAAATCCATACTATTTATGGGTGATGTGGACCAGGAACACACACACACACACACACACACACACACACACACACACACACACATGTTGGTCTGGTTGGTGGCGGCCTTGTGGTGTGACATCTCGCCTGGTCTCAAGACAGACCGATATTTATCTCATAGTCCGACAGTGTGACCGTCGTAAACGACAAAAAAGGCATGCAGTTTGAGAAAGCCATTAGAAAGACTTTTGGTCATTAGCAGGCATCATCTGATCCCGTTTGTGCGTGTGATGTTACTAACTGAAGATCAATCAGCTTTATGTATGTTTCATTTATTTATCTGTCTATATGATAAGTTAAGTGAGAAGTGCAGTCCGCGATTATGTTTTTTGGTTTTTTTTAACTGTGAACACAACCACCTGGCTGTAGGCCTGGTTACTAGGCGCCCGCAATTGAGACCCACCTTCAGGGTAACGAACAACAATCCAGTATTTGTACACACCATTGGGGTCTTTTGAGCCATGCTGTCTGGTCCCTCACCTAGGAACTGTTTTCCATGAGTGACCCTGCCACTGGCAAAAAGTCTGACTTAGCCCCTTGGATCATTGGGACACAAACCCCTTTACCAGTTAAGGTAGTGAAAATAAAAGCAATTTAAAAAGGCTATTTATATGACATGGTCTTCTACCTATGTAAGAGTGACAACGTTAAGATGTTAAGCAAAGAGACTGTCAATGTGCAGTGACAGTTAATGCTTTCAGTTCATGTTCAGGACACAGTAGCTACTATAGATCTTTGTTTTAAAGAAGGTGTTGAATACTTCAAAGAAATGACTGAGAAATTAACATTGCATAAATGTGTTATGTTTCTGTGAGCGCATTACCATGTCATCCTTCTAAGCCCGAGGACTTTTCACTCCACTGAGTTTGCTTTTTGACAGCTTGTAATATTGTATCGAATCCATATCTCTCAAAGGTTTAAAAGCTTTTGTTCTTTGAATCAGCAGGATCTCCTGGTGATTTCTCCCAAAAGTTCATCTGATGAAAAGAAGAAGGTAATACATAGTAAAGAGGAGGCTGCAGTAAAATGTATACTTTCTTTCTTTCCACCAAAATGGACTAAATGGGTTTGGAAAAACATTTCCTTGGGGATATCTGGATCCCTAGCTGACCTGGTTGAATTTAGCACACCTACTGGCTGATTTGCAGAAAGGACAATTTCCATCAAAAAGCCCTTTTAAACATGTGTGACTTATTACCAAGGCGCAATTCCAGTCACCACTGTTTCATTGAAACAGAACTTTGTAGAGTAGATTTTTTGTTTATGTGTGTGGGTGCTTAGAATGTGATACAAGCTAAGCCCAACAACTAGTAGTGAGCTTCTGTGCTTCACTAATCCTCTCTGACACGAATCAATACTTGTAAAGGTCAAACAGAGAATCCAGATTAACTTGTCAGTCGCTGACATGCTCCAGCACTTCCAAAGCCACATGCACAGATTTGATAAAGATCCAATCAAATGGGTTGTAAAATTTTCCAAGCAGACCGTCAAAAGATCAGAGTACAAAGAGACAAAATTAGACCCTGGGTACTGTATTTACAACGGCATTATATTACCTCTCTCGATATGATAACATAAAAAGTTCTTCCTCAACTGAATTGAGTATTTGAAATATATATATATATACACACACACACACACACACACACACACACACACACACACACACACACACACACACACACACACACACTGATGCAAAACTGAGTCCACCAAACCGGACCCCCTCAACGCCACAGCTGTGCCTCGAATTTCTGACCTATAAACAGATTTGTGACAGCCTGGGCGGCATGGTAAACCAAACTTTGACATCGGTGGTATAGGGACCGAACAGCCCACATCAAGGGGTTCCGGTGCCCCGTACTCCCAAAGCACCCCCTACAGAATTCACCAAGGGACACAGTTGAATGCCTTCAGGCTGAGCTGTGTCCACAAAATACTTGTCGACTAATTGGGCAAACTTCCACTCACAGTCAAGGACCATGCTGAGGGTTTAGAGCTGGTCCATTGTTGCACGGCCGGGATGAAAAAACTGCCTTAAAAAACCTGGAGTGCATCGAACTAGCTTTATTTTGAAAGACAATGTTGAAAAACTGATGTTGCTTCTGAAATTCAGAGTTGAGTTGAGTTTTACAATTAGTTTTCTAGATGTTAAATAAATGGAAAATTTGCTGTTTTTGTTGCCACCAAAAACACAAATGTATGCAAATAACAGAAATGAAAAAAAATTTAATACACAACCCTCCCGCACCCCCCCTCCCCCCTCCCCACACACACACACACTTTTGCTCATCACCACCATGACCCAAACATGTCAAAATGCATTACACCTAAACAGTGTTAAAACAGAATCCAAAAATCCCTCTGTTCCGGGAGGCAAAAGGCCAGGTCCTTTGCTCAGCATTCATCACACAAGAACAAAATTAATATTTTAGTGAACATTTTGCCACAGCCACTTCCTGTCTCCTGCAAAGTCCTGAAGAACAAAGCAGTTCTCCTGTTACCAAAGGACATTTTAGACTACTGTACTTTAAATAGCAATGAGCACACATCGCTGCAGGAAACAAAGTTAAAAAAATAAAAATAAATTAAAAAAACAAAAACACAAGCAAGTTAACAAAGAATGCAACAAACAAGGGACAGTGTGAAGCTCACAGCCTGAAACAAAACAAGACTTTTGTTTTTCCTTCTCAATGTTCAGATTCCGCAGCTGACCCATTGGGTCAGCAATTTATATCAATAGTAATGTGAATAGCAATAGTAATGATTGTTAAATTTTCGTGTTTTTTTTTTTGTCATGTACATCCTGTAATCGGATAACAACATCTGCGTGTCACGTAAGCCATTTGAAGTCCTCGGAGAGTCCACTATCCCACAGCCTTTCCAGTTTCCACCCACTCTTCTAACTCAAGCTGACAGCTGAGTGAAAGGCAACAGCAGCAAAGAAACTTGACGAGACTAAAACAGGAGGAATGAAACCACCGAAATCTTGTACTCGGCATCAATGCGGATCAGAGGTGATGGATCAATCTATGCATCTCCTGGAAATGGAGATAACCTTAAGAAGTAGATAAGTACCATAAAGGCAAACAAAGCACAGCGGATAACTCTCAGTAAAGGAAAACAGTCCACCTGACTACACTCAGATGGAGACTGAGCAAGGTGGGGTACAATGCTTGCAGTAGTAACCAGAGGTTCGGATACAGTATACAGTATTAGTAAGTGAATCGATGTATGATATTCAAGTTAATTGTGTCATAAACGTTGCATACTGTTAGTGTGCCTTATTGGAGTCTTCCTCACCTCATAATGAGCAACTCTCTGGGACTCGGAGATCAGCTGGGCACTGCACACTCGGCAGTAGCTGTCTGTGAATAGCCCTTGGTCCACGTCTGTTGACTTCATCTGTTGAAAGAGACGAAATGTTAGCTTGCAGCAATAATACCTTGTGGCAAGCAAACGTATTTCAAAAGAATAGCAAGAAAACAATTGTATGGCTTGAACTGTAGTGGACATAAGTTTCGTAAATTTTTATTGTGTAACTTTGCTAATAGACCAAATAAATGTAAGATGAAACCTACGTTTGATATACACTAAGGATGTTTGCATTCATGGGGCATTTTTCAACAATTTCTCAGTTTATAATGCATGGATCCTAATGTCTAATTGGGATTTTCGCCCTAGGCGAACATCCCTACACTGCAAGGTACCATTGCAGGTGAAAAAGTCATTTATTCACTTTTACTCTCACTTTCAATTAAAAAAACAACAAAAAAAAAAACCTTATACCATCCCCAGGACGGCTTTGGGTGTCTCTGGGAACAACAAACCAACCAAGCTGTAATGGAGCAAGTAAACGATAATCTTGTTTTATAATTTCAATGCTGTTAATATTTCATCAGCTCCAGCATTTAAGTTTGTGACAGAGGAAATGACTTGGAAAGAGACATTAAATATCAAACAGCCGTGGAGGATCAACAACCCACTGAATCGTCAACAACATAATTGAACGACGTACTATCACGGCAGTCAGACGTCGACAACCAAACAAACTAAATTTCCCACAGCTATGATTGGCCAATGTCAATGTGATCATCTGCAGCCAGTGATGGCCAAGTAGGCGTGTCATAACTAATTGACATGTTGAATTGGGTGGATTTTACCCTCCCTGACAGAGGCTTCGTGGAACCCTGAGACCGATTCATCGAACCCCTAGGGTTCGATCGAACCCAGGTTAACAACCACTGATCTAAACACTGCTTTTTCTGCTGGTATCTGATTCTCACCTGTAAAAATTAACTGGATGGCTGTTCATGAATACATGAGTGGATTTATTTTTTACACTAATTGCTACAGTAAAAGCCTCCTTTGTCTTTTAATGAAGCCACGTTTAACGGAGGCTATACAACGTAGCAGTATAATATTGTCATGGATGCTGTAATCCACGCAGTTTACTTCCCATGTTATGGCCTGATGAGTAAATATGCAAATAAGCTATGCTTCATGCGAAATTCCTCACGTGTCTGTTTTAACCTGGCCTACCGTTGCATTGCAAATTTCCCCACAGTAAAAATGATATGTTGAGAAAAATAATCAATACAAATAGTATTGTATCGTCTTTATGTCATGCCAAAAGGGTGAATGACATCCCATTTCTTTCCCGATAAAATGATGAGTGAAATAACATACATAAAAAGAAAAGCTTTTAAAAATTGTAATTTACTACAGCTTGTTGGTAGGCTGGAAGAGTTCAGTCATCATATACCCCACCAAAATAACCCCACCGCACAAATCCAGAAAATAAACATGAGGCGACATCACAAACATTCTGCCAGTCATGTAGTGATGATTAGGATTCATTAAAAACTCCTGAAAAATGAATATAGCTCAAAATACTTTAGCATTTTCAATTCCTATAGGATACAAAACAGCTGCGTAGCTTCTGTTGGTTTCTTTGCCAAAAGCTGCACAGATGTTAGAAATAAATGATTGATCATCCTAAATGTTGTTGAGAAGCAGATGAAGAAAAAAAACAGCAGCACAAGCAAAAACAGCAACCTGGGATACTTGGGCCACTCATACTCAAATGTTTTCGACGTGCTACCGCAGCAAAAGTGTTCCGACAATTGCACATTTCTGCACAGGGCTTGCCTGCATTGATTTCAGCTTGAAATTACACATTGGATAGTGGAAATATTCCTTTTTTTGCAATTTCAACAAATATGTTACTAAACATCTGTTGATTTGACTGCCAGATGCATAGCGACAAGGGGTTTCCATCAAAATACACATTTTTACCCGCCGTAATTAGATATTGGAATTCAAGACAACTGTAACCCAACAGGGAGATCTTTAGAGAATTTAATCATCAATGTCTCATCAGAGTTGTGATGTTGTCAACATCATTAAAGTCATCTACTGTCCACGCAGAACAGTTATCAAAGCTCATTACAGAAGCTGGCCTTATGCTTTGGTGGAGGACAGCGGACACATCAAGGGAACAACATGGCAGCATTCCTCAACATTGACAATCAAATTAGCGGAAAGCCAGTTTGAATCTCACACCTAGTCAACAATGGAATGCGCGCGCCTGGAACCCTCATCAGCGAGAGGCAAATGAGTCAAGGCAGGCAACACAACACAAAGTTGCTGGGGGCTGAGGAAGGGTGCCAAGGTCATGGTAGCAAGTGGCCAGCAGATGTTAAGGCAATGAACGATCACTTGTGATTCATTCAACTAGACAAATCGGGCTTGACCAGACTTTTGTTACGAGGTGTGTCTTTGGCTCACAGTTCGGATTACTGGTTTCACAGGGGGGGTTGTTGTGAAATAAGATGACTGGCCCTGATACAAATTGCACATTTTAACAAAAAACCTTCATTATCACCCACAGTTACAATATATCAGTTCTCAAGACAAAAAAAAAATTTAAACTTCCTTCAGTGGTCTGCAATTAGTTGCCCACGGGCCGTAATTGGCGGCCAGCAAGCTATGATTGGTTACATTTTAATCACAACATAGCTTGTTGAGCCAATGCCGCGTTGTTTAAATCTGTCGGAGGCGGCATGCTGGAAAGCATTACAGAGTTAGCACTTGTGCTGTAATCATACGATATAGAAAAATATAAATGATGTGTCCGTTTCTGCGCCAGAAATCAACTCTATTGCTCCCTTGTCGCAAAAAACAGCTTTTAATTACCCCCCTCCCATGTTGAAAAAAAAAAGGATGACATAGTATATACAAACTGCTTAATCTGGACAAAAACCCTCAAATCAAATTTTAGTGGTTTGGTAACTTTCCCTGAATTGGACAGAGCATTATCACAACGTTATGAATAATGGGGAAAAGACATGGCTTGTACAAAGTATATTCATTGTCTATAGACTACGTGTTTTGCGATGGATATATTTGCCGTATTTTCCACACTATAAGGCGCACCTAAAAGCATTCAATTTTCCCAAAAACCGACAGTGCACCCTATAATCCGATGCGTCTTATATATGGTGTTCCAGTTTCTTCATATTCCCCATTGAGTTGTTTCCCTGTTAGTGTTCCTATACCATCTCGTGGTGGTACAGGAATTGTCTTGTTTTTCCACAAATCGTATCTTGGCTTCTCATTTATGAAAATAAGCAAAAGTTTCTCCACTTCCTGTAATATTTGTGGCCTTTGTTTGCTAAACATATGAGATCCTTTCACATCACTGACTTTATGATGGTGTTTCTTTTCTAGCATGCTGCTGATTTCGGCATGCCGAACTCCTTAGCCAACACAGACACATGCACAACTGATTCATATTTTACTATCAAATCTTTTTTAAATTCAATAGTTTTGAGCACTATTTTCCTCTTTTTTCACCAGCTTTACTACTTCCACTTGCTTTCTTTTTCCTCTTTTTTTCACCAGCTTTACTACTTCCACTTGCTTTCTTTGGTGCCATGCAGAAATAACAGTCCAATTTGAGTAGATCTCAACAAACACGTCTGCTTTTTTAAAAATCTTTCTTGAACACGTCTGCTCACAACGGAGGCGTCACTTCTTTGTCTACCCGAGGAAGCGTCACTCCCTCGTGGAAGGAAGTCGAGAGGAGTCGAGTGGTGCATTCAAGTGCGCTCAGTTTGGTCAAGAACCGATTTTCGGTCGTAATCGGAGGCATAAAAAAACTCAAAATTTTTGGTCGAAAACCGATTTGGTCGAGAACAGAGACGTTCGAAAACCGAGGTTTGACTGTATATGAAAAAAGTTTTAAAATAGGCCATTCATTGAAGGTGCGCCTTATAATCCGAATTGCCTTACAGTGCAGAAAATACGATACCATATTTTCCGCACTATAAGGCGCACCTAAAAGTCTTCCATTTTCTTAAAAGCTCACAGCGCGCCTTAAAATCCGGTGCGCCTTGTGTATGGTCATTAGGGTAATATGTCGACCCCAAGATGGCTCCTTGCTGGAGACATGTTTGCAATGTTATAACTTGCTGTTGATTCAGTGAAGTGTGTCGCTGCTTTATTAGATACGTTTTTGTTGCAGCTGTGGTGTTTTTTTTTTAAAACGCACACTTTATTAATGGTTTTCGCAGTTTCAACAAATACAGGTACGTCTTTGTCCGTGTCCGTGCCTCCTCTTCTTCCGTTCGACTCGAGAGGCGTTCATGACCGCCTCGGAAAAACGTAAATTAACGATTACTTCAATGAAACTACGAAAATTGAAAACAATGCATCAAAACAGAAAATCAAGCGAGGAAATCACAAAATAAATTCTATAGCCCCCCCCTACAGAATTTATTTTGGCATTTTCTCATTTGTGAATACAGTACACAACAAAGGAATAAACACTTCTGAGATAGTCCAGTCTCCTACATTTTACTGCCATCTGATCGTTCTGTTGGAGCTACCCTCAAGGAAATGCCAAAATAAATTCTGTTAGGAAGGAGCGTAGCTCCATCTAGTGGATGCATTGTAGATTGCGCCTTATAATCCAGTGCGTCCAATATATGAAAAAAATTACTAAATAGGCCATTCATTGAAGGTGCGCCTCATAATCCAGTGAGACTTTTAGTGCGGAAAATACGGTATTTGTTTCAAGAAATGTAGATGTGCATTTTACTCCTTCTGTTTTTATTTTGATTCAACAAGTCACTTGGATGAAGCACAAACAATGGTAATTGGTTCAGATGCAGATGTGCAATTTAAAAATTAAACAATATATATACTGTTCAACAAATGGTTGTCTGACAACAACGGCCGGCTTACTCGCTTTTTCAACTCAGGGAACAGCCCCAAACAGACATTCAGTCATGACCATAATCCTGTGATTAAATTACTTTCATTGTATTTGTTAAATACAGAATGCATGTCACATTTGCATGGTGGTAGTTGGAGGACCCCAAAAAGCAGGCAAGAGGCAA